CAGGGTAGTGGAGGAGCTGGTGCACAATTGCCTCCTTAGATTTGCTCCCACTGGTGCTCAATAGTGCGACGAAACAGGGGGAGGAAGTGAATTCAGCACCCAAATAATAATGAAGTGTTCTCGGTCAAAAGAGAATATGAGAAGAACTACAATGGGAGGGCAAGCAAAGTGTCAGAGGCTTTAAGGCAAAGAAATGTCTTAATGTGAGAAGAGAGAAGTTCTGGAACAGCTGCAGTCCAGTATCTCAGTTTATCACAACCATGGGCTACACATGGTAGAGTTAACATAAGCCTCTCCTGTGCTACAGTGGCTCTCTTTCTTCAGCAGCTAGAGAACATCACACAGCCATGCTGAATCACAGCACTGGCCCTTTCTAAATAGATATCCTAAAGTCCTGTATTTGCATAAATGGGATTGATTATTATTTTGCATTGGCCACCACCTTCACAGATACCAATGCACTCTACTGTGCCACAACCAACCCTCTCCAGTCTCCCTTTTCCACTGTGCCAGGAGAGCTGAAACCACTCTTAGCTCCTAGATGTGCAAGACAGCAGAATGGTGATGGGCTTTTAATTTAATAGTCCCTGCAGGGATCTTCTAAATAGCCTAATCCAAGGTTGGAGTCCTTTGGTATTCTTAGATTAGATAGGATTAGCTGAGAGATTAAATAGGTAAAAGTTGAAAACTCTCACCAGTGTCTGGGGAGCTATCCAAGCTGGTCTCCTTGGTGACCTGAGTTTCTGTGAGAAGCAGATGGAAAGTCTGAGCATAGTACGTGAAAAACTACTGATACTGCACGCTGCCCCTGCCCCAAGTGGTTCTGTGCCCTGCCCCGTCCACAGGTGCTGCCCCTGCAACTCCCATTGGCCACAGTTCCCAACCAATGGGGGCTGCGAGGGCAGCATGGAAAGCCCCCTAGCTGCCCCTATGCATAGGAGCCAGAAGGGGGACATGCCACTGCTTCCGGGAGCTGCGCAGAGCAGCCCCTGGCCCCACTCCCCAGTGGGAGCTCGAGGGCTGGATTAAATTGGCTGGTGGGCCGGTCCGCGGGCTGTAGTTTGCCCACCCCTGAGCTAGCCACACTAGGGGCTGGCCCACACTTCTGGATGACAGTGATGTTATCAGACTGACGGTTAGCAGTTTAACACTGAACGCTGTTTTCTGATAGGTTGTTTGCCCTGACCTCATCCCACTCCTTCACTGTCCTCCCCATCCCTTTTCCTCTTGAATGCCACTCTTTCCCACTCCTTTGCTTCTACTAACTCCTCCAGCATATTGCCTCTCCCAGTTCCTCCACTCTGGCCCCCACAGTACAGTCTTTAAAAAGACCTGCAGACCACAGAATTAGTTCTCCCTTATTAATATAATTTGTAACCTGACAGTGTCTTTAGAGATAGGCGACAATGCAAGAGAGAGCCAGAAGCAGAAGAGAGTGATCCCCATCAACAGCCACCTGTCTCCTTCCAATAGCTTCTGATAAAATATGAACTAATTCTTAATGTTACAGTGCTATCCATTCTAAGGGCCCTACATTATTTTCAAGTGCTTTACATGAAGAGGAAGGACACTAGCATTCTAAGTAGGAAGCACGGTTTAGATTTTGACAAACAAGAATAAAGGGGTTGGGTTGCAGTACCAAAGTATAACAAAAATGTTCCCATTAGTTTTATTTTTAAAAAGTGAAGGAATTTTTTTTTTTATAAAAACAGTGAAACATTTAATCTCATTGCCACATCCAGAACTCACAAGACCCTGATGGAATCCCTGGCGAGCACCAATTGCAAAAGCCTGCAGTACCCATGGCGGGGATATCGCAACATGTCTCTGAGGCTGGGAACCACTGATACAGTTCAGGGCCCATAAATTCACTCCCTACACTAAGTTATTCGTTATAGTTGGGTACAGCTGCTACCCCACAGACAAGCTTCTCCTCCATCCCACCCAACTTGCATAGAAGCCCCCTACATAGCAACATGCCTCCTTCCCACATCATAGCATACAGGAGACCCCTCCCCCACTATATACACACAAGCCCCTCCCAACTATCACCCCTCCCCCCACAGGTACCCCTTCCGCAATATATACACGCACGAGCCCCTCCCTCTTACTAGCCTCCCCACAGGAACCCCCAACACACGCACGAGCCCAGAGCCCTTCGCCTTACCACAGGTACCCCCCCCAAACACACGCACGAGCCCTTCCCGCACCACAGGTACCCTCCCCCCCAACACGCACGCAGGAGCGCCCCCTCCCCTTGGCGCACAGTCTCCTGGGCTCCCTGCTTTCCCCCTAACCGGGCCTCACAGACCCCCAATCCGACCTCACCTCTCTGCCCTGCCCGTCATGCAACTGCCACTCCACCGGAAGCGTCCCTCCCGCTAATCTCTCCGGTCTGCAACGGGGAAGCCACAGAGCGACGGTTCCCCGTAACCACCCAACCCAAGCAGACTGTTAGCCGTGCGCATGCGCTCTATGGATGCCGCCAGCTTGAGTCCCTTCTTCCCCGTGTGGGTGACGTCAGGGTACGGTTGTTGCAGCGCCGAGGGTGGGGGCGCGGCGCGCGCGCCCGCTGCTAGGTCACCGCCCGTTCTTGGGCGGGCGGCGGCTGGTTCTTTCCCTCTGACTAGGGGCTTATCCCAGCACGGGGTTTCCTGGGAGAGGGGCGGAGGGCAGGGGCACGCGCCCGGCGAGAGCTCTACTAGGCAGCCGCTGCCTACTCCCCAGGGCAGGCAGAGGGTGTTCAGTAGCCCCCCAGGAGCTAAGGGGATGGAGGCAGTGCCCTGTCTGCAGCGCCCTCGAGGCATTCATTTAGAAGGGGGCTCTTTGCACGATGCTCAGCAGCCCTTCCCCCCGCAGGGAGCTTTGCCCCACGGCCTCTGCCTGCCACCCTAAAAGCTCATTCCTGAATGTCAGTAAACGCCACAGATCTTCTGCCACTATTTTAAATAAGTGAATTACCTGCTTGGAACAACCACCTTATTGAAAGGGATAATGAATGAGCAAATGTATGGCACAGAACAATCCGACGCTGGCAAGGCAATGACTAGATGACCTAGCAGGTGCTTTTCCTTTCTAATTTCCCTTTTAGTGTTGGTTGGCCTAAAAATGTGCCTATTGTAAAGGTTCTGTTTCCATTTAAGTTTTTATGCAGCATAATCACCATGGTGTCTGATTGCTTAAAATAATCCTGCTTGGTTTCAAGCTAAGGGACATCTAATGTCTTAGGCTAACGTTAGAACTGCTACACTATAAAAGCTGCAGTAACTCATGACTCAGGCAAGATTCAAACCTACTGGGTTCTGATCTATTGTTATTCATTGTGCCACTGGCTCCATCATGAAGCAGTCCTGCTAGAAAGATCTTCCTCTTCTTCTCAGTGTTGCCTCTGCCCTGCAAGCATGGACATGCTTAAATTTGTGAACATGAGTGTTCCCATTGTGGGAGTAAATTTAAGCATGTGCATAAGTGCAGAATCAGGGAGTATATTTCTGTTTGCAGATCAATAGTTCCTTCTGTCAACAAAACAACAACCAAATGTTATTTAGTCTTAGACCAGTAGTAAAGTAAAAAATTGTTTTCTCATCAGTTCCTTATCTGTTACTACTATATGTATTTATATTAGTTATTATGGTAGCATGCAAAGAGCTGCCAGGATTATGGCCCCATTCAGCTAGGAACTGTACAAACATACAGGAAGACAAAGTCACAATAGTTAACAAAGCAGAAATGTAGTTTCCACTTAGTGCCTGTTACATTGCACCTGGAAAGTAAGGTACTTTTTACAATCTGTGAAGCTGTAAATGGTCTGAGAGATTGCCTTTCTCTCTCTAGTGCCCATCAAGAAGTTTAAGATCTGCTAGTTCCTAGACTTTATGGGACTAGTGGAGGGAATCATCTGTAGAGTACTCCTGACTGCAGAACTTGTTCTTCCTGAGGTCTTGCCTATATTAAGTACAGTAGTATTTACAGTAGATAAGAAGTGCAGTAATGTTAATTGTCTATGGTAGTGCTAAGCACCGTTGTGAAAACCTCACAGGTCTGTAGCACACTACTCATTTATATACAGAATTGTTCCCAAAGGTCCACAAGTGATCATGCTCCTGTTTCTATGGTCCTAGTTGGATTCCAAGACCATTAACCATTTGCTAAGATGAATGGGCTGGAATGGAAGACTCCCACCATCTGGGACCATTGCTAATGATATAGTGCATGGGTGATCACTTGGCTGGTACTTTATTATGAGCGCCTCTAGTCACAGAGAGGGGCTCTTTGCTGTCCAAGGTGGAAGGAGACTTGCGTGGTGGTGGTAAATACAGTAAGCATATCTGTGGCCCTGTTTCCATGGCATTCTTTCCTACATTCCTTATCCACCTCCATTCCAGCCCAGGATGATGAACACAGGAAGATACGGGATGAAGAAACAGAGTGGGTTCACAAGGCTTACACTTCACCCTGTTTCCTGAAGTTGATGGTGTTCAGAGCACAGGGCAGAGCTACTTCTTTTTAATTAGGCTTTTATTTTGATTATTTATGCAATACTAAGTAAGTAAACAGTGATGCACAAAGTAGGCAACATCTATACTTTGGTGGTTGAGTGGTGGAACAAGTGAATAGGTTTCCCTACTTAAGAGATCTAACAACTTCAGACAGGAGATGTGATGAAGAAATCAAGAGAGGGATACAGCTTGTAAAAGATATATTCAACAACTTCCAAAGATTTATGTGTTGTCAAAATTTAAAACTGCACATCTGCACTAGAATGCTGAAGTACTACATATGGCCAGCCTATGTCGGCATAACTTATGTTAGTGTGAATAAACCACACTCCTGAGCGAAATAAGTTATACCAACATAAGTGCTTGTGTGCACAGTGCTGTGTTGGTGGGAGAGCTTCTGCCACTCGCTGAGGTGTTTTTTTATATGTTGACAGGAGAACTCTCGCCTGCCAGCATGGAGCGTCTTCACCAGACGTGCTGTACCAGCATAGCTGTATCAATATAGCTGTGCCGCTGCAGCACTGTACGTGTAGACATATGAATGAAGAAATGATGGGAAGGATTAATTTAAAAAGAGTAAAATTACTTTGGGACCCTATGTAAAAGACTAACATCTTTTTGTGGACATTTCAGCACTCATACTATCAGGCAAGATCACAGGAAAACCAGGAAGAGGAAGAAAGAGAGTCAGTTACACTGGAAATGTCATCAGGTGGACTGGTATCCAAAGAAGAGTGGAGTTTTACAACTTTTTTGTGACTGCAAAAGATGGAAGTTGGTGGTCAACAGCCTCTACATTGGAGACCTCACTTGAAGAAGATGCAGTACTATAGGTGTGCATAGTGCTTTACTGACAAATAAAGAGACGTTTTGTTCTGAGCAGTTTATAATCTAAATTAGACTGACACAATGAGGGAGAAGAAGAGCAAAGGGAGGGGGAATGGGAGGTATTGGAGGGTGACAACAAAGAAAGATTGAAAGATAAGCTGAGTGTTATGAACATGTCTTTTTAGAGCTTTCTTGGCTTTTGGTTCTTAATAAAGTAATATTTTTGGCTTGGACAATGTCTAGGATGAGGGTTGGTAGTACAAAGGTGACCAAAAGAGGTGAGTCTTGAAGACGGTTTTGAAGGAGAGTTACATGGGGCATAAAACCAGAGTGGATATTCTACGCATGGGAACTTGAGATGAAGGAAGTATCAAGACACAGGGCATTGGCAGAGTAGAGCATAGAAAGGAGTGGTTAATCAGACATCATGGTAAAAGTGCAGGGCAAACCCTGTGTGCAGATTACAGGGCAATAACATAAATTATATGAAGTTACCTATTTGGTTGATTCATATTTTTTGTACATTTTAGTTTAAAATTGAACATAAAGAGGCCTGGACAGTAGGACTCTGGACACACTAGGCATGCTGGAGCCTGTCTCAGTCTATCCATTAGAGGGCAGTAGTACATCCACCAGTAAGTACAATAGATCTGTGCACCAGTTAGTTTGTGACTCACAGATAGTCTCAATGTACTAATTTTTATTTATATTTGGAAATGTGTAATACGTGGTAATAAATTCTAGTCCACTGTGGATGGGATAAATATCCCTAAGCCTATCAATTTGCTCATAGCAGGTAGTTCATACTGTAGAAGGAATACCTTTTAGACTTCTATTTTAAATATTGAAGTTAGAAGATGTATTTTGACTCAAGTAGAGAGCTCCTTAGGGCACTGTGTTAATTTGCATTGAGTATCAAGTGCTGTCTTTTAAAAAAAAATACATTATTTCTGATATTGTTTTCTTTCTTTCTTTCTTTCCTTTTTTTTTTGTGTGTGGTTAATGATTAACGTGATTAATTTGTGAACTTGAACTGGGCTGTCTTTTCCAGTGATTCACACTAAGCCCTGAGAATAACTAGTAATGCAAATCCCACTATGGAGAATGTGTTGTACTAGGTGGATGACAGTCTTTGGGTGAGGTAATATCTTTTATTAGACCAATAGTCTTTGGGTGGGTGTTTGCAACATATTGTGGCTTTAAGATAACTCACTGAAGTCAGTGCTTCAGAAGGAAATCTGCAAGGAAGCCACTATTAAATGCTGCCACTTTGGCCCCGTTAGAAACACTGTGGTGTAGGAGATTTCAAGACTGGCATCAATTTAAAGGAAAAATCTAAATTATTTTTTCAAAGCATGTTTGAGTCTCGAGCTCATTGCTTTCCAGGCCAGTGGGGCTGTGGAGGCAGCAGTCTCACCTCCTGGGGAAAGAGAGCAAGCACACTTTATGTCTCTAGTGCTACCCTCTGACTGATACTTGAAATGGTATTGACCGTATGTGAGGGAAGTGCATCAAGTCCTTTTTGAATGGATTAGTTGATCAGCACAGTATGGGGTACACAAGGATGAATGGGGACAAATAAAGGGGGATACAGAAAATTCCCAGTCCCTCAAATGCATGTCATCTAGACTGAATGATTCATAGTTCAAATGTATGTCCTAATACATGGCTAACATTAGATGGAATATTTAAAATTTAAGAGAGGGAATGGTTCCTTGTGGTTAGATCAAGGGCCTGGGAAGAGGAGGTTGTTTATTGTTACTGGACATTCTTTGAGATGTGTGGTTACTGTCTGTATTCCACACGTGGGTATGCATGCACACCGGGTGCCTGAGTCTGGAAGTTTTTCCAAGCAGTGTCCGTTGACCCACAGATATACAGTATCTTCCCTCATGCTCCTGACCGACGGTATAAGGGATGGTGTGGGTCGATGCCTCTCCAGTTCCTCCTCTTATCGCCATGCAGTAGGATTCCAAACTAGAGGGGAAGGAGGGCAGGTAGTGGAATACAGATTGGGACCACACATCTCAAAGAATTTCCAGTTACAGTAAGTAACCTTGTCCTCTTGGAGTGCTGGTCCCTATATATATTCCACAGGTGGGTGATTTGCAAGCAGTGATAAGTGTGGAGGTGGGTGCGAGGAAGCTGGTAGCAGAGCTGCCTGTAATATAGCCATTCTTATTGCTGCATCAGCAGCTGCTGCTTGAGTCAGGACGTAGTCTGCCATAAATGTGTGGACAGATCGCCACGTTGCAGCTTTGCAAATGTTCTGCAATGGGATGTCTGATAAGGATGCTGTGGAGACTGCTTGTGCTCACGTGGAGTGAGCTGTAACACCCCTAGGAGGGGGAAGCTTTGCTATTTGATACTATTCTAATATGCATTCCAAGACGCACTTAGAAATTCTCTATGAGGTTATAGCTGGGCCCCTTGGCCTTTCTGCTATAGCGACAGAGTCTCAAAGATTTCTAAACTACAAGACAACTATTTACATCAAATATTTACAATATTTTTTTTAGTGATTGCAAAAGCAAAGGAGGACAGGATTGCAACTCACGCCATGCGTAAGTAATAAGGAACTGGAGAGGCATAGACCCACACCACCTCCTCAGTCGGGAGCACGAGGGAAGATACTGCGCATGTATGGGTCAACGGACAGCTTGGAAAAACTTCTGGACTCAGACACATGGCACGTATATGTATCCACGTGTGGAATTCACATAGGGACCAGAACTTGAAGAAGAATTGGGATTGTTGAATTCTATTCCTAGCTCTGCTGCTGACTCCCTGTGTGATCTTTGGCAAGTGAATTAACCTGTTTGACAACTTACGCTTCTGTAAACTAGGGATAATAATATACTTCACAGACGGAGTGGTGTCCAGGAGCTTCTGGTCTGCTTCCTGATTAACTTTGCTTCTAGGTAACCCATGAGCCCAGCTGCACTGCTTTGGAACTGACAGAGTGGCCACAGCCCCTGATTGGCTGCTGGTTTAGCAGCCCTGCTGATAAGCCTGGCCCCCACAGCAGATCAGCAGCTGCTCAATGTGTACCATGTCTTCAGCTGTGCTTGCCCTTGTTCCAGTCCCTGCTCCTGCATTGTTCCAGCCCTTGTTCCAGTCCCTGCTCCCCACCAGCTTCAGAATTCTGGCTTAGATCTCCAGCTTTGCCTCTGGCTTATGGCTCTGGTTGATCATCTAGTTCTGGCATACAACGTCTGTCTCTCAGGAATTGATCCCTGGCTCTGTCTCTGGCTTACATTTCTGATTTACCCCCTGCCTCTGGCATTTGGCTTCTGTCCCTCTGAAACTGACCCTTGGCTCATTTCCTGACTCTGCCCATCATGGACCAGCTCTAACTGGTAGCCTGAACTCTTGCTTCCACCTGTGCACGGCCTTGTCGGTTACAAATGGTGAGGCATAATTGAGGTTTGTAAAATGCTTTGACGTATGCAGATGAAAGGGGCTTTTACCTATGTAGAGTGTTCTTGTTACTTTACCAGCATTTTATATTATATTCAACAAAACTTTTTAAAAGTAGCAGCAACAAAAGCCTGTCATTTTGACAAGAACGAAATATTGCATTGGAAAAGAAAGGAAAAATTAAAATGACAGAATCCACTGAAAGGAAAAAGACATAATGGAGACATCTGGCTCTGTGCTGATAAAAGCTCTCACAGCTCCTATCCCATCATCCCTTGCAGAGCTCATCTGAAAGCGTATCTTTCAAGGGTTTCCAAAATGAAGAAAAACATCTGTCCAAGTCTAACTATGTTTGACCAACTGTTTTTAAAAAAAAGTGTTCCAGTGATAAAACCCTCAGGAAGATAACCATTTCTCAAACAAAAAGTCCGAGAGGGTTCATCAGCCCGTTTGAGTAATAAACAGAAGTGTGCCATCAACAATCTCAGGGGTGACCTGCAAATGCATATTAAACTCTCCATTCTGTATTACATAATTTTCTCTTCTTTTTATAGCACAGACTACCTGAGAATTTACTCCCCTGAGAAGTTAATATCCCTCCTGGAACCTTTAGACACTTATAAAAGCTGTCTGTATAGCTCTGTTGGCAGCATCTTGCCTCTTACTCAGAAGGCATTGGGCTCAATACCACACTAGGCTTGGCTTCATTATTTTTAATGCTGACACTGCAGTGTGGTATTTGGAGTGGGGTGAGGGTTGCTGCTGCTGAGCAGATATTAAACTGAACTCCCTTTGTCTCGAGCTGCTGTGGCATGTTTCAAAGAGAACTAGGGATAGGGCATTTGACTAGGACATGGGGTTTTCTCAGTAAAACCGATTCCCAGTACCAAGATCTGTGTCAACTGTTGTGGAGCTCCAAATCCTGCTCCTTCCTCCAGGCGTGTAGAGGGCCCTGACTGAAGCAGTAGAGGTTCAGTGCCATTGAGGGGGGAGGAAACAGATTTTTTTAGAGACTGCAGCCAGGGGTTATGCACACACCCAGCATCCCTACAGAACTCAGCTCCGTAAGGGTTCCCACACAACCATATGCAGTGGCTGTTTGGATGTAACACAGTAACAATTGATCTGTTGTTGCACAGAATCTCCAACATTGACCCAACGTGCAGGAGTACAGAGGCTACTGTAGTAGCACCAAGATAGACGTGGAGGTGTGGGGAGCGGGGGAAGATCTCCTCCTTCAGCTCCCTCGGAAAACACCAGTAGCTAGCCCAATTATCCAGGCTGGGCACTGAGAACAGCTATTTCCCCAAAGTGCCTGGTGACTGCTGATTTTGCTTTCACAGTCACTGCGCTATGAATATCTAACATATTGTCGTAAAACACTTGGGTATCTCAAAAGAATGGCCATACTGAGTCAGTAGTCCAGTATTCTCTCTTCTGCCAGTGGCCAGTGATCCATCCTTTCAAAAGTCTGAAAGGTGCCATAGGAAAATGCTAATCTAAGAGAGAGATGTCTTGCTATAGGTTTATAATAATGCCTCATTTTCCATGTCAGCTTTAGAACTATAATGTATCAGATTGCAATTTTCAATGGGAAATAACTATGGTGTCTAAGAAACTGTGATCTCAGTTCATTGTTGGTTTCGGAAGTAGAGCTGCTGACACCACTTGGAAAGCCATCCTACGTAGCAATTCTGTAGAAATACATATTTTCTTTCCTTAGTAATAATACAGAATGAGAGAAAGAGAAGGAACCAATGACAACTGCATAGAAACTAGGTCTCCTTGCGTGAGAGTTCATCTCTTCCTGCTGCATATTCCCTACCTAAAATTATAATCCTCTCTTTGTGATCTAATCATTTCCACAGCAACCAATTGTGATATCACAAACACTTCATGTGTGGGGAAAAAAGCTGCAGGAATAGATGAACTCTGAAGAGCCCAAGCGTGCATTTTTATGCAAATACCTTTATTAATAAAGAAAAAGGAGCAAAATTCAGAAGTATAGGAGATAGCAGCAGACTTGTTTCTAAACAGACTGTTTTTCATCGTAGATGTCACCTGCTCTTATAGAAATTGTTTTCACTATTGAAAGAACCTGCTCAGCTGGGACTCCACTGCCAACAAAGATACATGAGGATTGTTGACTGGTGGCCCCAAACTGACCTTGGAGGGCATATGGTTTTGGGTAAAATATAATCTATTTGCTAACATCCTTAGAGAAATAATAATATACATTATTGAAGCTGTAACAGGAACTAGAAAAATACAAATATATGTTTTAAAAATAGGCTTGGCTATAGGTTTTTAGTATTAAGGGCTTAGTGAGGTCCAAAAGTAGTTGGCAGTCGCATAAGCTAACATGAGTATTCTGTGTTAGCAAAATGTATCTTGTGATAGTTTAGAAATGCACTATGTGATAAATAGGTAAACTACAAACGAACATACGGTTGTACCTTAGGGTTCCTTTGCAATAAGGTAGCCATGCAGCTAACTGCATTCACATATCAAAACTATTGGTACATTAACACAAATGGGTTGCTTCAGTGGTCAGAAGTTTAACTAGGGTTAGCTGGAATAGCACACATGGGCAGGGGCCAAAACCTTATCATATATGGTCCCGGACATGCATGGATGAAATAAGAGGTGTATAAAAGATTTAAATAGAGATTGGGAGTGGCTGGGTCATTACACATATTGAATCTATTTCCCCATGTTAAGTATCCTCATACCTTCTTGTCAACTGTCTAAAATGGGCCATTTTGATTATCACTACAAAAGTTTTTTTTCTGCTGCTGCTAATAGCTCATCTTAATTAATTAGCCTCTTACAGTTGGTATGGCTACTTCCACTTTTTTCATGTTCTCTGTATGTATATATATTTTCTTACTATATGTTCTATTCTATGCATCTGATAAAGTGGGCTGTAGCCCATGAAAGCTTATGCTCAAATAAATTTGTTAGTCTCTAAGGTGCCACAAGTACTCCTGTTCTTTTTGCGGATACAGACTAACACGGCTGCTACTCTGAAACCTGTCATAAAAGATTTAGTTATGCAACCTATTGTTGGGGCACCAGGGGAAGCCTGACCCAGTGCTCTCCTGTGATCTCCACTTATAACTTGATGGAGAGCCTTAGAAACAAAGATGAAAGGAAAATAAGTATGCACAGTGAAAAACTAAATATGAACATCTTATTCTTACGTATATTGATTTTTCCCATGATTTCAATTATTTGTATTAAGTAAAGCTCATAATATCTGTGTATGCTTCACCAATTTCATCTTCAGAATTAACTAGGTAGCCACCTGAAAAAGAACGGGTTATTCAAGACAAGTACCTGTTGCACCTCTATAAATTTTATAATTATAATAATTGATCAGGCTATAGGATCAAGGCTTCTCTTCTAAGTCATGCTTCAGAATTAAGGAACTTTTTAGAGAACATGCTTTTCTGGCCAGGTGCTAGTTTTTGGTTTTGTTAACTGGCTTTTCTTCCAGTCCCTCCTGTGATTTTTTTCATGATCTTCTGTGAATTACATTTAAAAACAAACAATTAAACCTTGTCTTTCTTTTGTTGCCAACAGAAGCAGCAAATTGAATTGGCAGCTTGGAGTTGGCATTGGCATGATGCAGATGTGATACACTCATCCCTAGGAGAAAATGTTAAGCTTAGGCTATGGCTCCATTTCTCAGTGGACTAATGCATGAAATATCATTGATATGATCTGTGGCCAAGAGTCCCTTTGGAAAAAAAATAGTGTCACGGTAGCCATCAGTAACAACCACTCATCTATGGGGAGGTACAGAATGACCTTTCACCAGATGCAGACTAACAGTAGTAGAGATGTGCCTTAAGTATAAGACCACATATATGAACCAAATATTGATGCGCTACAGCAAGGTATGAATTATTCAGTGGGAGTTAACTAACAGGCTTTAATAGCAGTGTATTAGGCCCAGCTTTAAGAGGTGCCACTGCACTCCTCGTTGTTTTTGTGGATACAGACTAACACGGCTACCCCCAGATACTTATGAGTAGGAATCCCTTCTCATCATACGTGCTGTTGTCTGTAGGACCCTGATTCATTGGTTGCTGAAGTTGAAAGGTGTGTAGGGAATGTGGCAGAGAACTGCAGGAAGAGAAAGGATGTTGCATGGTTAAGACAACCAAATGCTGCCCTGGAGAACTGGATTCTATCCCTGCCTCAGCCACAGAGTTCCTGTGAGAGGCTAGGCAAGTCACGTGAACCAACATTTTCATAGGTGGCCTCTGTGTGTTCCTCATTTTCTAGGCACCCCGCTTGAGACACATGGGGTCTGATTTGCAGAAGTGCTGAGCACTCACAACTGCAACTGAGGTCAATGAAAGCTGTGCTCTGAAAATATAAAATGCTAGTACAGTACTCTGAAAAATGTGGCCCTATACTTCTCAAACTTAATGCTCAGAATATGTTGGCACTTGAGAATTTTGGCTTTAATCTCTGTGCCTCAGTTCCGACTGTGTAAAATGGGGATGGTACCACCTCAGATGTAACATATGGGTGTTGAAGTTAGTTCTTTACAAACATTAATGAATTTAAGACACTATGCTGACAGGACCATAGAAAAGCCCATGAGGAAATTAATAATTCTGTATTCAGTGCTGGGTTTTGCCAGTGCATTAAACAATGCATAGGACCACACAGCGAATGATGAAGATAAAAAGAAGTGGTGAATAGCTGTTCATTAAGTGAGTGCCATCTATCCTGTTCATTGAAAAAGGCAAGAGTCCTGTAGAAAAAAATTGTATGTGATCATGTAGTTAAAAGCTATCATAATGTGCAGACATACATATGAGGGGTAAATTACTATAGCACAGGTAGCCTTAATTCTGGCATTTCCTAATTTGGATGTTTAATTTTGCAACCCTTAACATAGGGGTTTTTTATGTACTATATCTACCGATGTAGAGAAACAGTGTGTGTATGTATTGATAGGTTTCTAATTTGTGCAATAATATGATATATCTATCACCTGGGAACATCAGTCAAATTTTACTCTTCTACATTGGTGAAAATCTGGAGTAATTTCTTTGCCATTAGTAGAATTTATCTGTATTAGGTGAGTTTACTAGAGCAAAATTTGATCTACAGTAAAAGCTTTGTAATCCAACATGTTGGGGAAATGGGGGAGGTGGGGTGCGGGTTAGTCAAAAATTTTGGTTAATTAAGAGTTATACTTAGCAACGAAATACCAATTTTCAAAGAATAAGAATACAATAAAATGAATAAAGTATAAAATAGTACACAAGTACTCAGCAATCCAGTAGTTTTCTATACAGTAGGTTATCTTATAACACTACATATCGCTATGGGCAGTGCATGTCATACACACAGATCACTAAAAATACACTTAACACTAAAACTATACCGAACATAATTTAATCTTTGATGATTCAGAAGGCACTTCAGGATCTTGCAGTGCCTCAGGGTCATCATTATCAACATCAATTATCATTGTAGATGTTGAAGGTGTAGGAGATTGGGCTGAATCTGTAATGACCCTATGACACACCTTGGAAGCTGCTTTTTTGAATAAATCCCTGATATCAGCTTGCTTATTTGTCTTCTGCCTCTTTTGCATAAAAGTCGATTGCAGAATGTGCAATTGCATAACCTCCTGGGCAGTATACTAGTCCCGGATACTAGACTGAAGATTTGTATTAGGAGATATCAGAAATGCTGGTTAATAGAGCTTTCTGGTTGATAAAATGCCAGATAGCACAGCTTTTACTCTATTACATTGTGTAAAATTATCACTATATTGTGTCAAGTATGTATATGTGTGCTGTCTTACTATATAATTTGTAGAATGGGAGCTTTTGGTCTCCCAAAAGGAGACTTTGCCCCTGGATTCATTATTGCATATGTAGCACTGAAAAGAATTAATATTGGACAATCTGCAATAGTAATAATTTGAACTACATTAGGGAACGTAGAATTCATGAGCTTTTCCATAAAAAGCACAAATTATATATGAATATATTTTTAAAAAATGATCTATGTTTATTTTTGACACATAGGAGCCAATTCACTAAATTGAAACTAGGATGTAATTTGTAACAGCATTTGGGGGTTTTGACTGAAATATAGTAAAAGAATGTGAGACAGGGCTGTAAACGATTACAGGATGGGAGATCATATAGAAAAAGAATGGATAAAATTTGGGGTTGAATGAAAAAGATCAAGAACTAATTATTTATATTACCGCAGTGTCTAGAGAGACTCCAACCAAGACTGGAATCCCATTGTGGCAGGCCAGTAGTTCTCAACTTTTTGTATACAGTAGTGTCCTTTTCACTATGGTGACTGACTTCCAACTAGCTGGGATCTAGCCCTTTTTCCAATCTTATTAACATGGGAGGAGCAGAGTGGCAACAACCTCCGACTCCTGTTTGTGTCCATCCTACAGGCCACAATCCCCACAGTGAACTCCTGTGTTAGGCACTGTTCAAACTTAAAGTAAGAGATAGTCCCTGCCTCAAAGAATTTACAATGTAAATAGACAAGACAGAGAAAGGGCAGGGAACTGAAGGACTAAGTGATTTGCCCTCTGATGCATAGCAAGTCTGTGACAGAGTTAAGAATTGAATCCACATCTCTTGAGTCTCTGTCCAATGGCTTGACCCCAAAACCATCCTTTCCCTCTCTATTTTAGATTCCCTCTTATAGAATCTGTGATAGATCTTGTATTGCTTGTGCACCCAAAAACTCATGGGCAGTGGGTGAACTATGGGCTTGGGGAGGCTAGCCCCCAGCCCGACCCACCCCTTCTGCCTGAGGCCCCGCCCCTTCCACCACCCCCAACCCAGACCTCCCCCCAGCTGCCAGTCCCCCCCAGCCTTGGATCGCCTGGGCCCCTCCCCAGCCACAGGGTGCCGGGTGCATGGCATGCAGCCCCCCCCACCATGCCCCAGAGCACTGGGTGGGCGGTGCGTGGCCCCCCCCCCTGCTCCGGAGCACCAGGTGGGCAGCGCAGCCCCAGCCACCCAAGTGCCAACCGCCTTAGCCCCAGCCCCAGACGGCTTCCCTTCTGAAAAGAGGAGCAGCCTGCCTGGGCTGAGGCCAACTGGCAGCAGGAGGGGCCTCGGGGTGGAGCGTGGGAGGGGCCACATAGGGCTGTTTGGGGAGGCACTGCTTTCCCCAGCCTATTATACACTCTGCCCAGGCTAGTAGCGCAAAGAATTGCCAAAGAGAGAAGGGAAATACTCAGGCTCAGCTCTCTCCATTGAATAAATTGAGTTAGCAGCACAGATCCCTGTGAACAGAAACATGTATTGAGCTGTTTGATCCCCTCCCCCACTAGATGGCACTGAACTCTCTTTCTTAAAAAAGAGAGAAGGACGATGAGGAAAAATATGGTGGAGGTCATTTTGATTTTAAAATATGAAGAAAAGCAAATTGCAGTTGATTCTCCAAGCAACCCTGCCCTTCCCCCACCCTGACCCCCAAATGCCCGAATGCACCTTAGTAGGGCCTCTCTCTGTAACTGACGTTTTCTTGAAAGACATTAGGCTGCTGTGTCTAAAGGATGCTAAGGAGAACTGAAACAGTCCTGCAAAGAGAGGGAGAATGGACTGTCATTATCTGTAAGATAACATCTGTGGTGAGGTCTAACCAGTAATACAGGCAGCTTGTCACAACGAATTTGTTCTGAATGGAATCTTTGGGCTGTTCCTTCAGACATGGTTTTTAGTGCACCAGTGCCTTATCTTGTCTATCTTTCATAGATATTGTAATCTACACAAACAAATCCCTCAACTTTCATTTTAATAATTTCCTCAAATTACATCTTTATATCCAAACTGATTTCAAATCATTGTATTAATCCCCTTCCCTGAGACACCCCTAATTAACTATAGAGAAACATTTGTATATAGGACCCAAAAGAGTCTGTGTACTCTTCTATACTTCTTTAAGATCGTTCTCCCATCTTACATTCATCAAAGGATCCACAATGATTGTTTTTCCCTTGGTGAGGTGGGGGCAGCATGGGAGTGAGAGAATTTAATAATGATCTGTTTATGCTGAGATGGGGCTGCCTATAATAATCTTGCTAGGAGTCAAAGAAAATGTTTGTAAGGTCTGCATTGAGCAGTAATCTACCCCTTTTGAGAAGAATGAGACAATGGGAAAAAATCTTAATTCTAAGAGTTAAATAGAAGTTAATGTGAAACCCTACACTTTCTTGAACATTTATATACTGAAAGTGACTTGAGGGAGGACATAGATTGCTGTCTGACAGTGCTACAAATACAAGCAAAAAAATTGCACATAGAGTGCCACGGGTTTGCCTTTGAAAGGAAACAATTGAAACCTGGATCTAGGTGGATCCTGCTAATTTTTGGCCTCAAGTCCCCAGACTGTAGGTGATCAAAATAAAGAGCAAGTCTAGCTTCTCCAACTGCAAAAAAAAAGGGGGGGGGAAAATCCAGCCCCTGATGCATCCAAGAGCAAGAGTATCACAAAAACCAAAGTCTGGTACATGGATCATGCTGAGCCCTGCGAAAGTTTGGCCCCTTGCCCCAAATTCTAATGTCTAAATAGAAAACATGTGTAGACGTTCCTATCTTAGATTATTCCTGTGGCCCCTGATGCATCTTGGCTCCATATCACTGGGAAAAAAAACACACATCTAGTAACCGGACAATGGATTTTTAACCCTGATCCCCCCAATTCCACAGTCTCAATAGACAAAAAATAACTTCCAATACACCACAAAATCTAGACCTTGTGTCACAGAGTCCACTCACTGCTAGGGCACCTCCTTCTGTCTGTTCCAATGCCCCTTTCCTCACACCTGCCCCCACTCCCCCAGGGACTTGACGTACTCCTTTGTGACTAGGCTCTCCAGCCAGGTCACTACAGTCTGCCCTTCCAGGATTTCGAAGTCCCAATGGATGACTATCCCAGGCAGTCTTTTGCTCCACTACCAAGTCTGTGCCACTTCCCCAGTGGCTGGTATAGGATCCCAGACACACTCTCTACTCCAAGGACCCTACATCTAGCAACTGCAGTCTGTTCTCAGACCCTGTTGTTCTTTCCCTGGAATCCTTCCTACAGCTTCTGGCTCCCCCTCTCCAGGCTTACCAACTCAAATTCCTTCCTCCCAAGACAGCCCACTTAACTCCATAGCCCCAAACACACCTCCCTTTTATGAAGACTGAAGGCTACCCTCACTGCAGCCCCTTTCTGCTGCCAACTTCCTGGCTTTATGGCAGCCCCGCTGTTCCTTCTCAGCTGAGCTGATTCAGTCGAGCCCTGACTCTCCCCCAGGTGGAGCCGGTCAGGTTAATTAACCTAATTTAATCTGCTCTACCTTGTGTGGGGTGAACACCTCATCCCACCTAGTTTCAAAGTGGTGCAACAGCACCATAAAACATGGATTTAGGACTTGGCTTCTGCTAGGTTGGTTGTTTTAGCCCAAACCCCAAAATTCTACCAGCAGCAGGAGTATAGCTGCTCTAACTGCACTGTAAAAATCCAGATGCCTATGTATTGCTGCTCAATAATACTGTAAAAGACACTTGTCTAACACCCAGCACCTCCTGGATCCTAATATTTGTGCCCCATGCCAACACATTGTTCCATCAAAATAGACAATGCATTTTGCCCCTCTTTTTTGACCAGTGAATTCCAGCTTCTTACACATCCCCATGCAAAAGCAACCTAGAAAGACATAGCTGACATCTGAATCATTCTGGATCCAGCAAATGTTTGGCCACAACCCTCTAAACTCTACTGTCTAAGTGGAGACCAAAAGTGTAGCTGCTCCTAATCCATTATGAAATTTGGATCCCTGTGCAACATTACCCTGGGTGAAATCTGAACTGATGGACAGCTGTGTCCCCTCAAATCTCCAACTTGGGGCACCAGCCTCCAGAACCCCAAGTTACTTGCAGTTGTATTGTATGAGTGCTATGGCCAGCCACCCTTGAATTATTCTACAGAGCAACACCAGCAAATTCCCAGTCCCAGACTTACCCCCAGAAATGTATGTCTTGTACTGCCCAGCTCTCTCCTGGAAAATACAAGTTCATATAAAGTCTGTCATGTTATTAATAGAAAATAATATGCACAAATCCTGTTATCCCAAATGGAGCTTCCGAAACGCTTGAATCCAAACACAATGGTTTAGATAAAACAATAAAACAAATTTATTAACTACAGAAAGATAAATGTTAAGTGACTACAAGTAATGAGGCATAAGAGTCAGAATTGGTTACAAAAAAATAGAAGTAAATTGCAACTAATTCGTAACTTAACACGCTAAATAGATTCAAAGAAAAAAGTCTCTCTCACCAGATGTCTTAGCAGTCTTACTGGCTGAATTCTTTAGGTCAGGATCCTTCTCCCAGACCAATGTTGCTTCCTTTGTTCTTCAAATGTTGTCAATGCTGTGAGTAGAGAGAAAGGGAGAGATCATTTGGGGCATCTGCTCTCTCTTCTTATAGTTATTTCTCATCTTTGAGAATCATCTCCATCTGAAGTTCAGGAGACAAAGACAGGAACCCCCAGCTGTTTCTTTGCCAAGATGTAGGTTTTTACCCACATACACTTTCCTGACAAAGAATGGCCACTTAACCAGGTGATGGTCCATTTGATTTTGCTGACACCTGGCTGAGGCGTTGGCTAGCCTTTTGTCTCTGAGGAACTGGTTTGTGACTGCTCCCCAGATTTGGAACATGTTTTAGTAATATCATACAGTGGAACCGTATAACTTTACACACAATGTTGCCATACATATTTTACCAGGACAATAATGGTCAGCCAATTATGAGTTTTCAAATGATACCTCACAAGGCATACTTTGTACAAAATTTATCATAATCTCCTAAAAGGAGTGAACATAGGAGCACAGACTGTTACACCTTGATATATCCTGGAACATGATCACTTGAAAAATCCAAATATGGATGTGGATCCCGTATGGTCTAGCCCATTTTTCACCTAAATACTCCAAGTTTTACATTTTAGATAAACAGTGAAGGGAGCCATATTTCTACATCTGATTAATCTTTATCCAATGTGTTGTTTCACTGAAACCACAACAAACTTAATCTGACATCTGGATCTTTCTAGACACCAGCCAACAACCAGTCATACCATAATATTGAAATTTGGCAATGGAACTGGTCTAGCAGATGTGTATGATCACATTAAAGGTAGGTTTAGATTACCATCTTTCCATTGTGATTTCCTAAACACCCCATGTGATTTAAACATATTTTTTTATTAATTTTAAGCATAAATTAATGTAAGCTGTGTATCTAAATCCAATAGGCTGCTTTGAAAGTCACAGTGGACTGGAATCTGGATTTTTCTGGTTAAACAGGAGATGCTACATGTGTTGTCTCTTTTCCTGGTACAATTTGTTTTGGCTTAAGGCCAAATTTGGTAGGATCAAACTGGATTCAGATGCTCAATCAACATTTTTGTGATGCGGCTGCATCACTTTGCAACAGGATCTAAATTTTTTTGGTGCACTAGGAATTACTACATTTCTTTTTCTATTTAGACAGTAGAATTTAAGGGATTGGGTTAAAAATTGGCAGGATCCAGGTGCCAGATCTATGTTTTCCAGTGCTGCTGGGGCCATGATGCAGCAGAATCTCTATTATTCCAGTAAAGTGGGAAAGGCTGCACTTTCTGTCTCTTTTGATTGTACAATTTGGGTATTGTGGCCAAAAGTTGCAAGGATCCATATGGATCCAGGATTTTGCAATACTACTTCTCTGGGGTGCATCGTGGTCTGGATTTTTTGAGGCAGGTGTGCCTGTACTTGTTTTCTATTGGGGGGCATACAGCTGGATGGATCCATGCATAGGTGCTGGAACTAGGGGTGCTGGGGTGTTACTGCACCCCTTGGCTTGAAGTGGTTTCCATTATATACAGGGTTTACAGTTTGGTTCAATGGCTCAGCAGCCCCACTATACATATTGTTCCAATGCCCCTGAATCCATGTGCCAGGTTTGGGATTTTGCGGTGCGCTTGCTCCACGATGTGTCAGGGTCCAGATTTTTTTTTATGTAGTAGGAACCACTGTTCTTGTTTTCTAGTTCAAGATTATGACTGGGACTGGGGCCAAAATTTGTCTGGAGCCAATAGAATCCAGGTTTTTGGCGAGCTCATGTGCCATGGGATACGTTCGGGGGGTTGATTTTGTTGGTTCAGTAAGACACGGCTACACTTGTGTATTTTGGTGGCACCATTGGAGGGCTTGTGGTTAAAAATCAGCAGACTCCAGCAGGGTACAGGTAGATCCAGGTTTTACCTCCGCCCCCCTTTAACAGAGTAAGACTTAGACGTTTCCTGTCTATGAAGTGGTGCAGTTTATCTTTAAGGAGGCTAGAGAAATAAGAAATGAGTCTCACGTTGCATGGGTGACATCACTGGCTTTTGGCTCAGTGCTCTGTATTCTCTGTCTGTAGGCTTTAGCCAAGGCTGCAGGGCTCAGTGTTTGAACAAGGAATGATTCCCAGGTGTACAGAAGATTGGATTCGCTCTTATTTGGGTTGAACACGGTGAAATGAGATTTTTAAAGCTCGCGGACTCCAGCTCGCCTTCTGTTGCTCCCGATCTCGGCGAGATGGGTGAGTTATTCCCGTTAGAAAAGAAGGGAATGGAAATTTAAGCAAAAAAAAAATGTCTGAATATATAACTGCTGAGGCTGGGGATAGGAATCGCAGGAAGCTGCTGAGCTAGTGATCTTGGCTCCTGTGTGGAGATCAGGCCATATGTCAGAGAAATGGTGCAGACCGAAAGCTGTTGACAACTGTTAGAGGCTGTTTTCCTTCCCCCCCCCTTCTTAGGTTGGTTGTTTTTTCCCTACCATCCTTTTAATCAGCCCTGCCTGCCTGCCTGCCTGCCTGCCTTCATTTTGCAGATGGGGAACGTGCCTGTGTATTAGGAAAACCTTGCCCAACGAATTGAAGCCCCGGTGAAAAAGGACTCTTTGCAACAACAGGAGGGGAACGCGAGGGAAAAAAGGCTGGGGTCTAGGACTGTCTTCATTGCTGCCTGAAGGAAGCTGGCACGGTCCATGGTGCTGAATCCTGCATCTCTTCCAACCCTCATCCTCCAGCCGCCTCACGCTGAGCCCTGGGCACCGGCGGGGCTGCTGCGTTTCTGTGGATGAGAGCAGAACCCCGGTGCGGTGGGTAAGTCGCTGCGCTCCAGCTTCAGCCAGTCAAGGGAAGAAACTGATCCATTCCGTTGCCTTGATGACAGCACCACCGACAACAAAACAAACCTAGTGAATGGCAAGGCTGGGACAGAGGCGGAGGTGGTTTTGAAACAAAGATGTCACTGGCTGCACACCTACATGCAGTCTGCTAATGGAAAGACGCCTGCGAGTGTGGATCGCTAATTAGGGGTGGAGGGACCCCCCCCCCAGACCAGGGATTGAAATTAAAACAACACATTTCTTCCCCACCTCCCCTTCCCGACCCTAACCATCCAGCCAACCAGCTGATGCGCTTGTCGGGCTACTGACAAAGAAAAGGCAAGTCATTGATTCTTGCAACCAGGATAGCTGTGACTGCTGCCGTTGAACTTTCCTCTCCAGCCCTGTGCTCTTGGGATGTTGCAGGTCACACGCTGATATTAAAGGGACCCTTCTGTCTTCGTCAGCTGGCCAGATCGAAAGAGCTTGGTGGACCGATCTTACGGCCAGAGCCTTCAGGACACTGCAAGGGAAGATTCCTTGCCCTGACCCCCAGACCCCTTCCATGCCCATGCAGCGGGGGGCACACACCTCTGTACAGGCACGCCTCTGTTTTTAAGTGGGAAGCTCAGATTTCTTCGCCGGGTCTGCACTTGGCATGCTCTGCGCTGGAAGAGTGGAGCCATAAGAGAAGCGGGTGAGTCTCCAGGATTGCCTCCAGGCCAGAACTTCGTAGAGCTTTTCCAGGCTCCGGCGGCTTGGATGTGAACCCGCCCGAGTTGTTGACATTGAAGGCAGACGCGCTGTCAAGTGACTCCCAGCAGCTGCTCCTGGAGGTTTCCGCGGGGTCTCGCGTGGAAGGGCTTTGCCTGTTGTGAAGATGTCCATGGTGTTGCTGTGAAGCTGAGGTATGGCTGCGGGAAGGTTACTGCTCTATGCTGGCCTCTCTCTAGCTTTGTGTGCCCTGGGCATGCTGGCGGTGGCAATCTGCTCCGACCACTGGTATGAAACGGACGCCAGGAAGCACAGAGAGAGGTGCAAAAGCTTCACCACCAGGAGAAACGACCCTGGCTTCATTTACAACTCCAACAACAACCTGCCTCTGAGGGCCAGCAGATCTAGGTTGGACCGCTGGGAAGGGAAACTCCTCTTGGCAAGGAACAGGAGGCAGCTCTTTGCAATGAGCGCCGCCGATGAGTGCAACAGACAGTACAACTCAACCAACATGGGGCTCTGGAGGAAATGCCACAGACTGGGCTTCGACCAAGAGCTGGAGGAGCTGATTGCCAAAGGTAAGGCCCGCTTTGCAAAATGAATGAGCTGAGCTGGGCTGAGTTACAGCGCCTGACAGGGGCGCTGGAATAATTTGTATGGCGGGGGTGCCCAGAGCCATTGAACCAAACTGTAAATCATGTGTATAATGGAAACCACTTCAAGCCAGTGGGTACGGCAGCACCCCTAGTTCCAGCTAGTTCCCACTATCTAACATAGCAGAGCGAACATTCCCAGCCATGGACCCCTCCTTGCAATGGGGATTCTGCAGTTTAAGGTTCTGAAGTGTGTAATCTCACAAACCATTGCTTAACCGTTTGGTACAAGGTGTCCAGTTCTCTGTTACTGAGACTTGAAGGGGAGGGAGTCTAGAATGGCATGATTACATATTTGCAGGGAGGGTAATCTGTCTCTCTGTCTAAGGTTTTCATAAGGCTGCCCTCTGAGCACCTGCCTGGAGGAGTAAACAATATTAATAATTCGCAGATTAGAAAAGTCTTCATTTGACCCTGCTGGTCCAGCCCAGTTTTTGTTTGTTTTGTTACCCCGGCTGTACATGTGTGTATTTTACTATTCCTGATTGCCACATCAAATTTCAACATCAGCTCCCAATTACACAATTTGCCTTAAACACACAGGCTTGCTCTAACATTGAAAATGGGAATAAACAAAGGGAAATGCCAGAGAGCAAGAGAGAGAATACAGCCTGCTTGCTGCTTATTCCAATCCAGATTCTGGAATATGTTCACTGTGCCAAAACTGATTCATCAAGAAGGGTCTGAAGAGGAATGGTTTTCTCCCAAGAAGGAGACACAGATGTTTGCCAGTAGCATCATTGTGCTGTTCTTGTTTTATTTTTCTGAGGAATTGGTGAGGATGATGGTTAATTTGCCTTGAACGGTTCTTTGATCCAGAGCGCAGCACAAACAGCTGTGTACAAACACCAACTAAGTTAAACATTCCTTCAAAAAAGATGGATGTTTTTGCAAGATGATTAGGGTTCCAGTTGAGGATTACAGCATCCTTGCTGGTCCCATGATGCTATTCCCTACAACAAAACATCCTTTCTCGCCAGAGTCCTTATGATGAATTCAGAGGATTACCTATCAGTATATTTTCCCCAAAATGAATTGATTGCTTCTTATACAATATAATCTTTAAAATCACTTGTGTTTTAAATATATTAGCTATCCAAAATTCTAGTGATTCTCTTTGCCTGTCCTACTCCCCTTTACAAATACTACATGCAAAAATATCGAAGGAGCTAATCACATTTATGAATATAGAGTTTACTTCTGTTTATTTTAAAAGTGAACCGCAAAAGGTTAATAACACCACATAGGCACACGAAGTACAAATGCGTAATGAAATATGGAGCCTTTCACCTCTAGATTGCTAGTTCAAATCTAGCCCAGGCTGTTAGTGAGCAAGTCATTACTATGTGGTGGCTGTTCAGTCGTTTATGTGAAATAGATTGGAGGCTTCAGTCCATTTTGTAATGGACAAATGACCACATCCAAAACCTGTCATCACGTTTGGCACCCTGATTGGCAGTCACAGCTGTGAAGCCAAGGAGTCCTTTAATCCCTCCAGGTCAGGGTTGAGGCATAATGGTGTGACAGTGCAGGGATTGCTTGCACTATAATGTGTGCTCTGCCTGGTATAAGGATAAATAGTGAATTTCAGTCTCCAGCAAATTTCACAAATACTAAGTCTATTTAAAATGTAGTTTAAAAGATTATAAATGCATTTCATTTTAAAACAAAATATATGAAAATCAATCCTCCTTTTGCCTGCCTGCTATGTCCTAAGTTGAGGAATCTGTTTCCCCTAATAGAGCTGTTGAAATCACTTAACATCTGAACCACTGTAAGGACCACTGTTTTAGGTGTTAGTGATGGTGGAACACACAGCCATAACCTCAGGCAGATAAATATTTGCAGAAAGAGTTGATTTTTGGAAGATCTAGTTTTAATTTTTCGTGTGTGATCAGTTTAGCCTAAACATATTGAGGCAGATATTCAAACGGAGGCAGGTGCCTAATTTATGGACTCAAGTACCCAATGCATGCCTGCAGATTGGATATATGATTACGCCAGGGCCAGCCAGGCAGTTGTCAATGTTTGTGCACAAATATCAGATTTGTGTTTGCATTTTGGGTAGGTTGCACAATTATATGCATGCAATTGGTTGCCATTTGGTTTGAAAATTGGGTGTATATTGTTGCATGATTTGTGAGCTTAAACAATATTTTGTCTTTATCTTTTGAAGCTTTGCAATACACCTTTAGCTTTTTCTGTGTGGGTGAAGAGGGAGAGGTAAAAGGAGGGAGGTTCTTTTAAGGCAAGTGTCAATATTACAGTGAAATGGGGGATTATTTTGATTGAGGATACATCTATATAACAACTCTGAGTCATTATGCAGCGTAATACTTGCTCATTATCTTTAAAAATAGGGGGTTGCATTGCCTTATAACTTTAAGAATTAAAACACAGAAAAGTAAAGATTACGACAACTTAGGAATGTGAAGCTTTACCTTACTCAAAAATAAATTCTCAACCATCATGCTACAGTATAACTATCTTTATATGATATCTATATATGATACAAAAATATCAAAGAACTAAAGGACTTTACTTATTACCATAAAGTAATTTTTTTAAAACTCCATTAAAAATCTTTGCATCCAGCTATCACTGCAAAAGGTATTCGATATATATGTTATAGGCCATCCTTATATGGGCAACCAAATAGTGTCCCAGTTCCATGTCCTGAGGGCAGAGATTCCTGCATTTCTCTAGGTTCTGTAGTAATATTATGGATGTGGTGTAAGTATATTTTGCACTGCTGTCAGGGGTAGAGAACAGTGTTGGGTCCAAAATGAGGCACTCTGACATATTCATGATCCTTGGATGATTAATCTCTCATCACAGAATCTCCTCCGGTAGTAGAAACTGAGTGTGTAGGAGCTGGGCTCAGCATGCCATGTGTGAACATGAAGGATTCTGAAAGATCTTACCATGCCTGCAGTAGTCAAATACCATAAGTGGGCTGCATATGCACTACTGGTGAAATCTCCCCTTGGGCAGAGGGCCAGCACCATGTAAAACCATTTGGAGCATTTAAGTGGTGCACCAACCTTGTGTTGCCCCTCTGCACAAATGTCATTTTCAGCCAGTGTGCCTATTTATGAATTGTTTAAATCAATGCAGGTTGCAGCTCCAAATATTGCATATGCAGATATCCTATCTCCTAGAACTGGAAGGGACCTTGAAAGGTCATCGAGTCCAGCCCCCTGCCTTCACTAGCAGGACCAAGTACTGATTTTGCCTCAGATCCCTAAGTTGCCCCCTCAAGGATTGAACTCACAACCCTGGGTTTAGCAGGCTAGTGCTCAAACCACTGAGCTATCCCTCCCCCCTACATGAATAGTCCCATTGGATTCAATAGGACCACTCTTGGGAGTAAGGCCTACTTAAGGGAGTAAGTGTTTGGGCCTCTGATTCTGTTCTGTCTTGGGGTTTAATCTTTCCCATTGACTTTAGTGGGGCCAGGATTTTACCATTGATCTTAAAAGCCTTTCTAGTGTCTAAGTAGCAGGAAATTAACTTCATTTTAATTCAGCTGAATAATCTAGGTTTCTTCCAAGAAGAATGAATTTTACAGCACTGTTGCTGCACTCATTTTGGACTTAGGAGTCACTATACCATCTTGGACCAGTGGTCCATCTTTCAGTAATGATTCTCTAGTGGAAAGCAAAAAACAAGCCAGCAAGCAAAGACCTTTAATGCACAGAACTGTCAATTCAGTGTGGTACATGGTTGGGAGAGGGAGGAGTTTATTTCCTGCCTTTGCAGTAATCAGATTACATCCTATTGTGTTTGACTCATAATAACCCAAAAGGAAAACAGAGCTTCTTGAGTCTGTATCAGATGGCAACTTTGGAAGCTCCCTCTGTATTGATCAGTAAGGGAAACAAGAACGGGGAAAAAAAGATTAAATCATTTCATAATAAAGCTACAATACCACATATGAAGAAGTTACACAATAACCTGAGATCATTCCACTTAGACAATTACTACTCAGAGGACCTTTCATCATGTGTTTGGAAGACTGCCAATTAAAACTGTCTGGTATGGTCTCCGCTTGCTGCCACTGGAATCCAGTTATAGAAAAATATGGCAATAACCTTAATTTTTTGCCCCCAAAGATACACAGCAGTCATATTAAGTCCTATTTTTTAAACACTTTATTGTGAGTATTTTTATCCCATGCCAACATAGAAACAAAAAGAAAATCTAATTCCCATGCAGGCTAACTCCACAGCAAATAATGTGCAAGGATTCTGGAATGAAGGTACTCTGTGTTTAGATTTGTCAGATGCATGGCACAACTGAATGAGAAAGGCATAACAAGACCATTCCAGCGGTCACTAGGGATTATTTATAGGCAGTTGGAAAAGTCTGATGAGCAGCTACTGCGGGTATGTATAGGAGTAGAAAGATTTATGTCCGTTAAAAAAATTGCAGTATCCTGCAGTTCTTTGAAATTGACTTTTTTTTTTTAAATCAGTGTTTTGCCAGGTGAATAAGGACATTAGTTTTTCACGGATTCTTCATAAATTTAAAGCAATCTAATGATATTTTATTTCAAAACAACCAAAACAATTATCCTATTACTCCGTCTTTATGAAGTGGACCTCACTGAGGGCTTAATCCTGCTCCTGTTGAAGTCAGTGGCGAAAGTTCCATTGATTTCAGGACTGCAAGCACCTTCAAGTCTCCTCCAAGGTTAAAGTTGTCCTTGTGCACATGTCCAGCACAAGGCCCATGCACTGCTAAGGTACTACTTAAGGCTACGTCTACACTGCACACCACTGGCGGCGGCATGCCGTGTACGTGTAGCTACACACTGTGGTGAAAGGCAGGCTGGGTCCATGCTGCGGTCTGTAGCTAACACACAGCAGTGATAGGCTCTGGCAGGGTGAGGCAGTAGGGAAAGGCTCCATCAGTGGAGAGCT